ACATGTGAACAAAGTGTAATTCAGATCGGACTTCTATATCATAATGCTGCCATAGTAATAATCGGTATATCCCAACCAAACTGAACAGTTATGTAATTATGCTTCTTACATTTGATACTTGCTATATCCTAAGTATTTCGTAGGGACATCCAGGCTGTTTTGTAAAATAGTAAAACTTTGATGTCGGCAATTTGACGCCGGTCTACAAATTTATATAATCTTTGGCCTGTCTAAGATAGCCGTACTTTCCTGTTTTTATGATTAATCGATTTGAATTGTCGGCAAGCCAAAGTTTTGGCAGTTATGCCATCTGATTTCCGCCTCAATGTCTGGCACCAATCTCAGCTTGGCTGATTGACTCCCACAAGATGGAGAATAATGTTCAAATTGAGGTAATTGTTCTCGTCTCGAATGTGTGTGCTGCATGATGGGTCTCTTTGTGTGTATATATGTCTTTGTGATTGTGCCCAAGTTCGAGTTTTGTTCAGCTGTGGCATGCAATACCAACAGCAGCCAAATCGTTTAAGACAGTCAAAGACAAACCCTAAACCTAAACTGCTGATCGAATAGCAGATAGTGTTATACTCTTATAATATGCAGCTATATTTAATTTTTAAGCTCTAAATGTGTGCATCAGACAAGTATCTTTAATCGTTAGTCATTAAATGATCGACACGAAGATGAAGATAATACAAACTAATCGAATTATGATGACAGACTATAAAAAACAATGTCAATGGCCTTCGAAAACTCGCCAAAACTGTCCACTGACTACTCAAGTCCAGTCTAGTCCAGTGAGAGGGTCACATGATGACGTTAGTTTGGGTTTGGCGTCACTCGATTGTGCAGAGGGGTGCTTTGTGTACGTCATTCATTTCATCGATTAGCACTTCAACCGATACGTAACTTGGAGCTTAGTGTTTTTAAAAATACATCAATAAATAAATCACAGACAATGACACACACACATACACACTTATCTACAAGTGTGGCCGATAAGCAGCTGAGATAAATACAATGTCATTATTATGGGCACTTGTTTTCATTTTCACATCTACACTCAGTATAGTTATGCAATCCTGCTTGGAACTGTGCCAAATATCGCAGCCAGCTCATAAATGCAATTTCTTGTGTTTTAGGGGTACACTCGACCTTAAAGTGCTACCAAATTCGCAACAAACAGATAAGCAGCTAACTCATAATTTATAACTGCATGTGAAAAGTAAAATTATTCTCAGAGTATTGGAAAATAAATGAAATCGGTATTTAATTGAATTAAAAGTGGCGTCATTTATTTGCTGACACAATTTAATTATCACACCACACATAAATTAGAAAGCCACTAATTGAAATAGATTTCTATCATTTTCCAGATTCGATTATTCTTACTTATTATCGAACTCCCCAACAATTTGAATATGACAGCATATGAGTAATTTTATAGACATTAGACCAGCCCCCAGTCGTGGCTTTCGTTTAGAGGTCTTATAAATGATTACATTTAGTTTGCACAACAAGGCCTAGTTTAAGCATTAATAAACAGAATATGTTTATTTTTTTTTATTGGTTTTGGCATAATGTGAGTGGTGAATTAAGTAAAAGTAAATGAACACCTATGATTAATGTTGTTAATTATTTGTTTGTTAAATAAAAATGATTATACTCGTTTGAAGAATAAAGAAGAAGAAACGAACTCCATTCAAGAATTGATTAATATATATTATGTTCTTTTTGCTCAGTGTAGTTTATTTATAGATAGTTATATCACAACCGATATATCTCTAAGAGGATTAATGTATCGGATTGTGGCATGCATAATTGTGGCATACATTATTGCCGCATTTATATTTACAGCTCGCTTGCCTGACCCAAACTGTGGTTTTCAATATGTTTGCTTCGAAGGAAATAATATAAAAAAACAATACTCATCTATACAGCTTAAGGGTGGCTTTCTCTTAACGATATGCAAATCTATTTTTCGAGCGTTTTACTATCCCTTATCCTTCATCCTTTCAACTCACAAATGAATAACATTATCACCTTGACCGAAGTATATACAAGTTCTATGTAAAACTAGAAAATACTGCCCCATAAAACACCAACAAAATTATCTGATTGTATTTGTCTCGATTTTGTGCTGTGCTTTTCTAAATTGACTCAAATTGAAGGCGCATGACTCAGCATACGAAATCATGTGGAGAGGGCGGAGTGAAAGGGAGTGTTGCCGCTAGCTAGGTTCGTGTCGTGCCACATAATTCTGTGCTTCTTCTTCGTTCGGATTTCTTTGCGTGAAAATCATAAATTACAGTAGACGGTTGAAACTTTGGAATATCTGCAATGCTTTTAGTTTCTTCGTTCGTTAACTTGTGGCGCTTGAAAGTATGCAACGTTTTGAGCTTTACAAGCTTTACAACAACGAATCTAGTTCTTAAGTTGCAAATATTCGATTGTTGATTTCTTCTTTTATTAAGGTTATTCATTCGGGTAATTTTTATATTTTTTTTCCAAGTAATCTAAAAGTTAAAGCGTCAACATATTATAGATTGTTGTTGTGTTGTATTGGTTGGCTAGGAGCAAGAAAAATTCGAGAATCGTTATTCACTCGGCTATTTTTTGTATCTTTTATTTGAAGTAATCTAAAAGCTCAAGAACCAGCAAATTAGAAATTGTATAAAAAACAATTAAGACATCTGTTGGCTTCTTATTAGAAGAATAAGCAAGGCAAATTGTAGAATCGTTAACGAAACCTAAAATAATTAAGTCAAAATATGAACGTCCTTCTGTTTGTCCATCTTAATTAATTTCCACAAAGTGTAATGAAGTATGGTCTGTGCAAGGGACACGCTCAGAAGCAACAAATTATTGTTTGAGCTGTAATTAAGTCATAGCAACAACGAGAGGCAAAAACCTTTTTTGATAATTATCAAAGGGTCCCCCAAATAAAGAGAAATATAAGACAAGTAAGGGCCAACAACATTTTCTTATAATTAGCAGAGACATGACGCGCCCCAATGACACCAATTCCGTAAAATGAAAAGAAGAGAATCAAAATGTGCCTCTGACCACAGAGGGTTGTTTCGATTCGGTTGTCTCTTCTTTTTTTTTTTTTTTGTTTGCCTGGTTTGCGTGAGATTCCAATGCTAAAAGTTGCGTATCCATGAAATCTGTGGCAGTGTGGGGCGGAAGGGCAGATGGAATATGTGGTTGAGAGGGAGGCGTGGCAGTCTTTCGATTGCATGCCAACAGAACCGAGCACAGACACTGGAAGTGTACCGGTTATGTAAGAAATAAAGCGGAAAATATTCAGTCTATAAAAATAAAGCTTTTCTTGCTTCCAGGCAAAATTATGCATGCAAGCCGTGAGAGAGACAGAGCACGCGCATAAGTGAAGGGGGAACGCACTGGATTTGACTGGAAAACAGCTAAGCTTTGCGCATGAACCAACAACGACCACAACAACAACATAAAAAAAGTGCACGGAGCTAAAAACGTAATCGAAAGAGGCGGCCAGGTGAATACGGCGAATACGCTGCACACCGTAAAGCGCTTTCATGCTAAGCCGATCAAACACGACGCCTAATCCACGAATGCTCACCTGAGCTACGAGAGAGCGAACAGTGACAACGAGAGAGGAAGTAAGAGAGGATAAGCGAGTGTTAAGCAGAGAAAGAGAGAGAGAGAGAGAGAGAGAGAGAGCGAACGCACACAGTCACTTGTTTCCGAGAGTTAGAAGTTAATGACAAAACGAACAAAAAGAAAATAGAAGAAAAAAAAAACAGCTTGCTAGCAGAGCCACAGGGCTAACTTCAATTTATTGATCATGTCTGTGCGCTAACAGCCAAGTAGGCAGCAACAACAGCAACAGCAGCAACAACATTTGGAAAACAGCTAAGCTCTCCAATAGGATTAGGCACACACAAACAGTGCCAACACCCGCGTTGCCATTCCAGTCACTCTTAACTGACAGCATCAGCAACCATAAACAAATTAATATACTTGACGTCGCCGCCTTAGGGCGTCGGCTTGCAGCAGCGCTACGCAAACAACAAAACCCAATAACTGACACACACACAAACAAACTCACACACGCATATGGACGTAACTACGAGTTTCGATTTTTTTCGTAAAAAAAAAACGCCCGCTCAGCACTGTTGTTGTTGTTGCTGCTGGTGTAATGTTAAAAAACACACCTCAAACTTCTAATAAAGTTTTAGCCTGATTTGACTGGGTTTCTTCACATATTTCTTGATACACTGTTCTTATCACATGTTAACAATTGTTTGCACTTAAATTATGACTTAATTAACTTAGTTTTATAATAATTTTTTGGTAAATTATTGCGCTCAGCTCACCTCGTAATCCGACCCTAACGCCATGTTTTATCGATATGACATTTCTTATCGATTAGTCAGTTATGTGTATTTCGGCCCAGTGTTGTACAGCTGTTAAGTATTCTATTTGGGGACGCAATTTGCGTTAACATGACTGTTATACATATATATCTTGGACAAAAGAGAACTGCAGTTTGGCAAAGAACTTCATATTTCTTTGTTTTCTATTAGGCTTTCGATCTGTACGTGTCAGAAATTTTTAATATTTTCTTTTTACTGTCAATAATTACAAATACATTTAGTTGCATAACTTTGGGCTGTGTTTCTAATTTTACCTAACAGCTTTATTTGCAGTGTTCAGCGTTGCCAGGCTGTTGAAAGCTTAAGGCAATTTAGCATAATTTTACTCTGTTAGCTCGTTGTTCAATAAAAACAGATTTAAGCAAAATCAATCGAATTGTTAATATAATAAAAATATAATTATAATAATATTTAATTTGCACATAACAAAATCACAAGCTATTTATATTGCATGATTGAAGCCTAATTTGATATGTTACTTGGCAAGAATTCACCTCTGCTTGACTGTGTCGGTTAATAACAGACATGCTTAGCGAAACTGTTAACTAACAGCACAGAGTCGTTACAATATTTGAAAAAAGTAACAGCTTAAAATAAAACCTTGCTTTGTTTATTGGTATTTTAGTAGTTGTGACACAACTCCAGCGAATACTCATAGCCCAAAAAGGCGGCACCATTGAAGGGTATTGCACGCGCTACCAGCATCCAGCTGCCACGAAAAATACTACGCCAGCCATATGCTCGATAGTTGACAAGTACACAATGCATTATGCCACGAAACTTGTGATTCTCATCCGCTTGCATGATCGTCTTGACCACATCGAATGGTATAACGCAGACCCAGGATAAGACGCCCGCCCATGCGCCTGCAAACGTGGTCACAAATAAATTTGTACTGGTCGCATTTCCCTGACTCCTGCGCTGCTTCACAAAATCCGTATTATCCAGATAGTTGGCAGCTTGGCGATAGACGAGCATATAGATGCCATAGGGCAACACATCGCTGCAATCGCACAAATTTTACACTCAGTGAAAGAGGGACTAGCCATCATAAATCATATCTACGTACCGACACATCATGGGAACTAAGCCTCGATATAATCCCGTGATGCCATCATTTTTCAGTATCCGCTTACAAGTGCCAAAAGCTGTGCGTTTCTTTCCATATATATAGTCGTTATAGTCTGCGGATATTATTCGGAAGAGAATTATATTCCAAAGTTGGCAAACTGAATTCTCAATTTCAATTCTACTTACAGCAGTGCGTTTGGAGTCGCACTTTGATCAGCTCCATGGGGCATGCTATGAATGATTGCGCAAATCCTGCCAAAGATCCGGCCATGAACATGTTGTGGTACTCGAGCTGTTCCCGCTGGTAGTCGCTGTGGCAAACTCGGCGCAGTTGCCGCAAATGGTTGCCGTAGATGCCGAAGAGTATGGAGTTGATGGCACCCGTCGACATCATGGGGAAGAGCATGCCCCTGTAGAAACCGTTGATCTTTAAAGCGTTGTCAACCGACTGCGTCTCCCCCGTTCCCTCCATCCCCTTCCCAACTCATACTTACCCCATTGTTGCGGCTGTAGATTTGCTTGACGGCCGTCATCACAGATGTATTGGATGCTTGCTGCCAGGTCTTGATAGTGTCCAGTGGATGTGCAACGAGAACCCCCGTGGCACCTGCACAAGCAAATAAATAAATAATATTAATAATAATTAGCAAACTTGATAAGCAGAATTGGTTGACTGCAACATAAGTATATAAAAATGTGCATTTTATTTTTTTTATATTCTGCTCTTAGGCATTAAAAAATACATCTATTAATGTTCTATCGAAAAATTGTTGAATTTAGAATAATAATACAAATAAATAAATTAGTGTTTTTGAAAATGTCTCATTTCTTATTTAAATGTTTGCAATTTAAATTACATAATAAATTAATTAAAATTACCATTGTCAATCAAAATAATTGTTGTGTTTTTCTCATTGGCCATAAAACTGATCAAAAATGCTTGCAGGCATCAAAATTGTACGTTAAACATTTTCTAAAATTTGTATATAAAAAATATAGATTTTGTGGAAGCATTAATAATTATATTAATTATTATTATTAGCCCGAACAGCAGAGAATCGTACAAAATAAATATAATTTAAATCATTTAAAAAAAATATACTTTCAATAAAATAATTATAGTAAAGACAAATTTTCCTGAAGACCATAATGCTTCTATAGCTTCTAGTGCTTGCCATAAACAATGTAATTATAATTAATAAATAAACCACGTTGATATATGTAGTATGTGGCATAAATTCATTCTGATAAAATGAGAATCAGGAGGAGCAAAAGGCCCCATTGTGGCGCACATGTTGCCGCTTGGCGTTGCCAAGAATTTCAACTTTTGTTGCCCAAAAATACGCATTCGGATCAGGGGCAGTTCGGCACATGAACTTGGCCGTGACGTCGTCGTCACTGCTGTCGGATGATGTTTACAACTGATGATGTTCTTCTCGCCGTCAATCCGCAAATCCGTCAACAAGTGGCTCAACTTTAGTTTTTGACCCGATTCGATTGCATCATTCAAATTGGAAACTCACCACCAACGCAGCCGGCGACAAAATCACAATAGTTCTCCCACTTCATGTTTGTTGTGGTGTTATTGTATTAAATGCAGTCACACTTTTGATGATGAATTAAAAAATAAAGCGAAGTTATTAACTCTGCACTATTGATTTTATATTTTCTCGTTGCTGTTGTTTGTCGACTGCATTTGGCAGCGTCAACGTTGGGACTGCAATCCAATTGGCGGCGCTGTTGTGCAGCGCCAGCAAAAGCTCGGCGAGCTTTATTGCGCTCAAGAGCTGACTGGCACAATGCAAAAATCGCACCAGAAGTATATGCAAATGCACGTTACATATTCAAACTTATAAATTGGTTTAACTGTTAATGGATCGATCATTTCTGAAATGCACTCGCACTGCTTGAATTTCAAACTGCTTGCTGCTGCTCTCAAGAGCTGACTGCTACAGCTGAAAAATGGCGGCAAAGGCAGATGGAAATGTACGTTAAGTTTTTAAATCTTGTCATTTGTTTTTATTGTATTGTTGATTGCAAACTCCTGATTTTGACTGCTTGCTAGCTGAAAAACATTTGTTTTTTTTTTTTTGTATACTCGCAAGTATATATATATTTATATATATATATATATATATATATATTCATTTTCTTTAATTTTTTATAATCCTTTTGTTTTTAGTGTAATTGTAATGGTATTTATTTTTTATACTCAGCATAAGATTTTGTTTAGTTGTAGTATGTCTAAAACATAGCGCTCGGTGTGCCAAAGAAAACAATAAATTTGAAAACCTAGCACAGCGAACCAAGACTCGAGAATTATTTAATGTTCTGCTTCTGTTCATAGGTTCATTATTTGTTTTTGTTTTGTTTTTTTTTTTTTGTTTTTACAAGTCTAGAACATAAGAAAATATTTCACATTTTATAATTATGCAATATGTTTAATATTGTTAAAGCGCCTTATTTTGTTTTACTTTATTTTATATTCTTTATGTTCTTTGTTTTATTATTAATGCGACTTTACTTTTTATTTTTTATTGATTTTTTTATGATTTTATTTTTTTAGTACAGTTTTGTCTCTAAAAGTACTTAACGAGTTTTGCTTATACTTTTAGCTGGCTTTTAAGCAGCTATTTGTCAACATGCTTTTTTTTTTTTGTTTTTCATTATTTATTTATACATATAAATACATAAAACTATCGTTAAAGTTACAATGTAAATTGAAAAGCAGGCTACAAATTAACTCAAAGCGCAAGAAAAAAAAAAATAAACACAAACGAAAAAAATAAAAACATAAAACAAGACCACATCTCTTACATGTATAGATTTATATATATATATGTATGTATACATATATATATATGTTTTTCTCATTTATCAGGCATTTTCAACATTTTTTGTTTTGTTTTTTACAGTTTCTATATATTATTTTGTTTTTTTGTTTTCTTTTTTTTCTCTTGATTGGCATTCCTATGTGAATTTCAACATTAACTAGAGAGGGGGGTGTTCAAGATGAGTGTTTGTTTTATTTTCATTTTTCATTTGGATTTTGCTTTTTCTCTAGGGGGCAAGGGGCGGAAGAATATAGCTAGAGTAGTTGCTGTTTTTGTTTTTAGTTGATAGGAAGGCATTTACTACGAACAGTATTTTTTGAATTTTATTTTTTTTTTCCTTTTTTTTTGTTATCATATCATTATTGCTTCCCCATACGCTATAATCGAATACACTTTGCCACAGCGCTTGATTCCTAAATGAATCCTGAATTCTCCTCCTCCTCTTCCTCCTCCTCTATTCTGTGGTGTTTTATGATGGCAGTCAAGTTCTAGAAACATGCCGAATATTTAATGTCTATTGCTTTCTTAGATGTGTTGTTCTCCTTGTGGTTGTTGATCGCATTTTGTTGTTCATTTGTATCATTCTTGAATTATTAAATTACACTCTAATATAAAGATGCAAAACATTTCATTCACACTTTGCTTAGTATTTAGGCCATAGATTCGGTTTCTCATTTTATTATTTTCGTTTTCAATTTTTATTATTTTATTTTATTTTTTGTTTTTGCTATATGACATTTTAGTTTTTTTTTTAAATTTTTTTTTATTGATGATTAACACGATTTTTCAGTTTGAATATTTATTTTTTTCGACGTTTACAAACATATTTAATAATAATAACTCATGTGTTTTATTCATTTCTCATCTTTTTTGTTTAACGCTCCTGTTTTTTTCTTTTATCTTTCTCGAATCGTTCATATGTATGCATATCATAATAATAACTTACGTTTCACAGACACAATTTATATTTGTATGTATGTGTGTATGTATCTTTAACTTTATGAGTTTGTTCTGTTATATTAACTTTTGGATAATGCATACTTGGATACTTTTGTTGTTGTTGTTGTTCTTGTTGTTTGCAATGGGCGCGTGACTTGAATGAACAAACATACATATGTTTTATACATATACATATCTTTTTATATTCATTTTTGCATAATAATATTCCGTTGATTATGATATTTGTTTAGTATGAGTGCGCCTAAGTGTGAGTGTTTTTTTAATATTTTTTTTTTTTTATCGAATTGATTGTTTGATTGATAGATGGAGATTTTAATATTTTTTTTGTGTTATAACGGAGCGGCACAGATAATTTGATACTTGTTTGTTTTGCTTCTATGCATACCATATTTACAATGAAAGGATCCTTAAGCGAATTACTCGAGAAGTTGTGCGCATTTTCTTCAAGTGTAGAGAAACCAAAATGTTGTTGCGATAACAAAAAAAAAAAAACAAAAAAAACAGAGAACTGCCGCTCCATAAATATATATATTTACATATATATATATATTCATTGTATTATCGCTGATATATCTGTGAAATGTGAGAAATGCTGAGTGAGTAGATGACAGTTTGTGATTGAGTGGCAAGTGAATGATTGAGTGATTGAGAGGGTGCCTACCTTAACGTAACGTTCCAATAGGTATTTCTAGAGACTAACCACAATTACTTTTATGTATATATATTTACTTCGGTTCTTTAGCTTACAACTTTTTATACAATGCATATTTTTTTTTATAATTTTAATTTTTTTTTGTTTTTTTAATAATTATTTACTACGCATGCGCAACTCATTTGCTTTAATCTTTAACTTAAAGTCACACTATTTTTGCACACATACATACACGTTCATGATATTATAGATATAATTATTTTTGCATTTCTATATAAATCAGCATTTATGGGGTTTATATATATATATGTATGTATGTATGTATGTATGTATATGTAAGCCACTTCTCTTGCCCATTTATTCATTTATATTTTGCTTCTCCTTGTGATGAATGCCGCTAAATTACTTCATTTATTCTTTTTGCGAACCAAGCTAATGTTCTTAGTTCCTTATATATATTTACTGGATATATATATAAATATATATATATATATATATATATATATATATGTATTTATATAGATGCTTATAGGTCTGCGTGGGCATTGGGCCGGTTATCGAAATAGTTTTTTGGAACAGTTTTTTTGTTTTTTGAAAGTTTTGACGGCATGTGCAACACTTAGAGATAAGTAACAAAGTTTTTGCAAAGTCGCTCAGTAAGTCTACGCGTATATAACCCTAAATAAGCATACATACACACATGCATATGTGTGTGCACACACATACACATGCATACGTATATATACAATGAAGATATCAGTGGGTTTTTATTTATAAGTAGGAGCTGAAAGTTGGACACATACCAGAGACTGCTTCATTTTCGGAAATCAACCGAAACTCGATACACACACATTGTATTCCATATAGTATTTTGTATTATTATACACATTTCTAATGCTTGTGCATTGGGAGCGCGGGCAATCAATAGAAAACTTTAACTAGAGTGTTTGTGTGTCGGTGTATGTATGTATGTGTGGTTTGGGGCAGCTGTTCTAGGCTAGGATAGGCTAGCAACACGTCTAGTTATTTGTTGTAAAGAATATCTCAATGCGTGTTCTTAACAATCATCGAACAATCGGCTCTCGATTTTAGTTTTTGTTTCTGTTTTCTTTTCTTTTTTTTTACTACTAACACTTTTACGCTTTATTCAATTTGTTTTTGTTTTCTGTACTCTTATTTTTTGTTTTTGTTTTGAGCTTAAACCTAATTAATAATATTCTTTTCTTTCTCTTGTAATATATGTATATATTTATATGTATTTATAATATGTGTGTGGGTGTCGTGTTATGTTTGTGTGTTGTGTGTGTGTGTGTAAGTTGTATTATATTATATAGAAATTTGATGTCGCAGTTATGCTGCACTCTTCAAGCATTTTAGTTAGCCACGCTCTCAAATTCTCAATTCTCAAACTAAACGTTCCCTCCTTTCGCCTCCTCTTATGCCTCTTCTTCTTCTTCTTCATCTCCTTGCTCTGCTCCGATTCTTGTACCGCTCCAGCAGCTGCAGCTTCTTGGGTTTTGGTGTCTTGTTAAACGAGTATACAATTTAGTTTTCATATTTATTAAGTTAGCATTTTGCTGCTCTTTGTGTTTATAACTATTTATCGCCAGCTCAACAATATTCATTCTTATTCATTTCTTTGATTTGATTTAATTTTATATATATATATATAGATGTGTGTGTGTGTGTTTGTTTGGGTTTAGAGTGTACGTGTGTGTGTAGGTGTAGTGTGTTGGTTTTGGGTGTGCGGAGCCGGCTAACATTTTATGTGTTGTTGTTCGTGTTGTTCTTAAACTTGTTTGTTGGGTGTTTTGTGTGTGTGTGTTAATTTTTGCATTTAACTCTTGCTGTTCTTGTTGTTGTTGCTGTGGTTGTTGTTTATTGTTAGTTTCAAGCGCGCATTGCGTTGCTTCTATTTAGTTGTCTGCCTTTTCTGATTTGTTTTTTGCATTTGCTGTCGCAGGATTATTGTCACCACCGACGCCGAGGCCGCCGCCACTGGAAAGGCTGCCGCTGCTGCTGCTATTCGACTGTTGCTGATGAGAGTTGATGGCGCCAGTGCCGGCGGCTATGTTCGACGGCTGCAGTGACGCTGCGGATGACGACGATGACGCCGCCGCAGCTGATGCGCTGCTGTTCGCTGTTGCAGCGCTGCCGCCTGCGGCGCGCCCGCTGGAACGATTCGATTCGAGTTCGTGCAGCTTCTTCCACAGCTCTTCGCGATCGCGCTCACGCTTCTTTTCCCTGCAAAAAACCACGAATCAAATTGAACAATCAATAAATAAATATGATTCACGACTAGTTTTAATTATGCCACCCACTTTTGCCTTTCCGCCTTGTAGCTGGAGGTCAGCTCATCGAAGAGTTTTGAATTCATTTCCATGAACGTCTTCAATACATTGTAGACAAGTGCAACGATGGTCTGATTCCAATGCTCCTTGCTGATGCGATAGAGCGCCGGGAACATGATGGGCATTATAACAGCGTTGTTTTCCTCAATTAGCGACATGGCATATTCATTGTTCCACAGATATAGAGCACGTTCAGCAACCTAAAAACAAAGATTTGGTGTTCAATTAAAACCATTCAATAGGAAAATCGATTAATTTCAAACCTGAAAATGTGGACTCGATACGCATTTGGCAATTTGGCGAAACAACGGCTCCTGTATCTTGACAAACTGCGGCGGATCGATCACATCCAAGATCTCCTCAATTTCGCCCAAGAACATGACCTCCTTTTGGGAGCAGGTCTTGGGCCAGAACTTGAGCAGACCACGCACCACCGGATCGGTGAGGAATGGATCCTTCTCTAGGAATTGTACAATGCAATACGCCAGCTGAGCATGATAAAGCGACAGGCATTTGACTTTGTGCAGCGGCAACAGAACCTTAACCAGAAATTGTTTATGTTCCGCCTTCAATGGCAAGGCAAATCCGTTAATGATGCTGCAATACAAACAAACAGACAATATTAGCCAAGAATAAAGAAGAAAGAAACAAGTTTTTAACGCTTACCTGCCAAGTATCTCGAGCAGCTCGCCAACGCCATTAAAATGCTCCGTCTCATAGATGAACTTCAAGAATATGTTGTTGATCTGTTTTCGTATAAAAGCGCGTAAGCCTAAGAATTTCCCATAGATGCGATGCAAGACCGTCTTCAGAAAGTCACGCTCGCGCGGATCTTCCGAATCGAACAGTTCCAATAGCTGCAAACATTAATTATGTATTTAAGAAATGTGAAAACAAATCAAAGATTTCAAAATTTAATTACCTGCAGCACAAACTTTTGATCGATCACACGTTTGCCAATGGTCGCCTGAAAATCTTGGGATTCCAGAAAGCGCAAGAACACCTCATAGACCAGCTGCAAATGGGGCCAGGAGGCCTCCAGTGTTGGATCATCCTCTTCGGGATCAAAATCGGGATTTTCACTGGGCGGCAATGTGCGAAATAAATTGCAAGAAATCTAAAAGAAATAATTAAGGTTAGTATTAGTTATGGTTGAAAATTGTATTATAAATTAGATTATTATTATGTAATAACTTCAATTGTTTTACAAGTGTTTCTTGCTTAAATTACAGATCTTTCTTAATAATTCGTTAGCTAAATTTGCAATATTTTTCTGACATCTGATAAATTATTTTGACTTTGATCGTGTTTTCAATCACATTCGCATTACTTATTCTAATGTGTCACAAATCTTCTATGTATACAACAGTCTCTGTTGTTGTATTTATTTGATATGATATTATAAAATGAATTAATTACCATGCGTATTATTTCGGGATAGACTGGTTCCGTAAGCACGCCACGCCCGTGTGTTATATAGGTGGATAGATCATTGAGAGCAGCCCGTTTGATTTCCTTGCCCTTTAAGTCCGTAACAGGATCCATAAAGTCAAATGATACGCAGCACTGACGTAATTTCCGTATAAACAGCTCCTCCTGTTCCAAGCTCGAGCAATCGGCTATTGATTAAATGACGAGAATTAGTTTCAAGATTATAGGTATTAATTAATTAGTTGTTTTTGATCACCTTTTAGCGGCGGCAATTGCTGCAGCTCAACATCCTGAGAGTTTCTGTAACGCGAGGAACCTTGACTTTTTTTACTCTTCTTTTTGAGTGAACGTTTGGCGAACGGGTCGATTCGATCCACAAACGTGCCCGATGACATCTTTTCAGATTTGGGTTCGTTTGAATCGTTGGCGGTCTCCGTGGCTGACTGTGTGGTATTCAGCTTGCCGGCTTTAATTCCAACGCTTGCCAATGAAGAAATTTGATCGTCCAACGCCCCACCGGCTGCTGCACCAGATGTGCCCACCACGCACACGCCCACACCACCCACGCCCTCGTCGCCGTCTTCGTCCCCGAAATCGCTGCTGAGGATTGCGACCGGTTTCTTGTCTTTGCGCGTTTTGCGTAGCCAGCCAAAAATTTTATGTGTTATGTTGGCGACTTTTGCCGTTGAGTTTGGCGTCTTGCAATTGTTCGCCCGGACCGCGCTGATGCTGCTGCTGCCTAACGGTATTCTGCGCTCTTCTATATGCTGCTCCTGCTGCTGCTGCTGGTTGTTGCTTTGTAGTTCTTGTTGATGTTGCTGCTGTTGTTGTTGTTGTTGTTGCTGCAGCTGGTGTTGTTGATGTTGTTGTTGTTGCTGGTGTGTTATGTTGATGGCGGTTATGTTGAAACGATATCGACTTATCTTGGCATTTAACACACGTTGCCCGCTGAGAAGTAGGTTCTTGGTATCCAAATAGTTGTTGCCGTTGCAACTGTGCTGCCGATTAGTTGCGTGTTGTTGTTGTTGCGGATATTGTTATTGATTTAAATTCGTTACACTGCAATTGTGAGAGTTGCATTAATAAGTTGTAAAGTTTATCAATAATGATCTCGCTTGAAAAGTCAAAAGCTTCTGTTATCAAAGTTGTTTCATTTGCAAATATTGATATTATATTTATTTTAACAATACTGACAAGTTAAGCTATTTGACCTATTTGGAAATAGTAACATAGATTCTACATACTGAATCCATTAAAAATGGTTGAATATTTAGCATCGAGCCAATAATGTTTATATATCTTCTGGAATCTAACTTCTCGTAGACCACAGATCAAGTTTATTTCATTTGATGGATAGAAATCGATTAGTAAATTCTACAATTTATTTAAAAGCTTCAAAATCGTTCAGGGTATCTGCTTGTCGAGCTGCTTCGCCTAGAGACGTGTCCAACTTGTTTAAAATGTAATAAATACAATGTTCTTAAGCATGACAACCAACTCCCACATTTCAATCAATTTGATAAAGCTGATTATAAATTCTGCACAATATACTTTGCCGGCATTTTGAATTTTCAAGCGAACAGAACACACGCTATTTATTTAAGCACTCACCTGTGTATTCTGTGTGTGTGTTAGTGGGTGTTGTGTGTTTTGTTTCGTATTTGTTTGTGGCTATTTTAGTTGTTGTTGTTGTTCTTCTTCTTGTTTAATGGAGGGATTGTTGCATTTCTTATATGCGCCTTAGAGTTGGTGTTGTTGTTGTTGTGGTTGTTGTAATACTCGCTTATAGCTTCTAGGTTGCTTCTTGCTCCGCTCTGAATGGCACATCAATTCGTTTCGAGAGAGTTGCAGAAGAATTTGCTGTCGATAAACTGCTCGCTCACAAATATTTTTATATTCACATACTTCTTGCTCTCACGCTCTTTGCTCTCTTCTCTTGTATGTTTTTTTTTTTTTTGTTTGTTTGTTTTTGCTGGGTTTGTTAGAGTAGATTTCCTTTTGGTTTTATCGTTTTGATTTTTGGCATCACATGCACTGCAATGGAGGTAAAAGAAGCAGAGTAACATTAAATCACACCGTCATAAATAAAGGAAATACATGTTATAAATACAACCACAAAAAAAGAGAAAGAAAAATTGATATAACTCATAGTTTGATATGATTGAGCCAAACGCCATGAAACGTCATGTACAAAAATGTATTTTCTCTTTTGTTGAATGCCTTTTTTTTTAACCTTATCTAATCGACATGCTTGCGCTGCTCCCCCCTCGCTTTTCTGCTCATCCCATATCTCTGGCTAGATAGATAACACGGGCGACATTGAGGCAACTGTGATTTCAGGTTTGTTAACTGAACAAAAACCCAAATGAGGTTTTTCTTTTGTGCTTTTGTGTGTTGGTTCTTCTACTTTTTGCAAATGACCCCATAAGCTGAAACTGGCGGGCAGCAGCAGCAGCAGCAGTTGGCCAAAATGTAAATGATGCTGTTGATGGATTGACGTTTGCAGCTAACAGCATTTGGCATCGCTCGATAACCGCAAATGTGAATCGGGTTTTTGGATTGAGGAAATACGCGAAATTCACAAAATTCGAGAGCAACATTTTCGTTTGCAATTTGCTGTTTGACAATTGAATTACGTTTACGTCTCTGGTGTATCTTTTAGAATGTTGTCTCATGTTAACGGATATTAAAGCAGCAGCAGCAGTAATACAAATTAGCGTCTTTTTTCCCTTTAAATTCGTACTGCTTATACTGAATTGTTGAATAGACCGTTCATGCAGTTGCAAATCAAATCAGAGTTTATATACGCATATATATATATACATATATCTATTATATATTGTTTAGCTTGGAGTGTTGACTTTCAATTGTCACGTTTGACTGTCTGACTGACTTACCAATTCAAGTATTATTTTTTGTTATAATGAAATTTGCCTAATCTAATTAATTACATTTTCGTTTTGACTAGAGTCGAGTCCCAAATTGAATTAGGCTAAATAATAATATGTAGAATTTCTAGGGCAAGTATATTTATTGTAGGTTAAATTAAATTTTGAAAAATTCGTTCAGAATTGAAATGAAAAATTTTAAATTGATACAAATAGAATCTTAAGTTTATTTATAAACAGCAGACTGAAAATTGAATTATTTGACTCGACTCAAATAAATAAATTTTTTAAAAATTAATTTATCATCAAATTATATTTATATATAACTTTTATATTGAAAACATTGATCAACTACACATTGGTCTACCAGAGAGCGAACAAGAACAGTAACTTAAAGTCTATGGCATAAATAAAAATATAAATGTTGCATGACGTAGTGATCCTAAACAGATATATTTTTTATCATAAGTAATAATTGCAGCAAAAGGTGACAGCTATTTAATTATTAAAGCTTACAAACATGGAGACAGATATACATTTTAAGTATATTTATTTCCAGCATCTACCCCAAATAGTCAGTAAAAATCCCATGAGTCACTTGGCTTTTCAATTGGCTTGGGATATATGTACATATAAATGTACATATAGACTTCCTTGCATCTTAAATGACCTATGCATTCGTTGGTTAACTCAAGCATATGCTCTTCAGTTGCGTCTAGTTCAGCCACAGGGGACAGATGTACATGCATATATGCATATATATAAGAACATGTCTTTTGCTTATGCCAAGCACAATTTGCACAATTTGGCATGCAAGTGAGGAAAAAACCAGCGAGCCGACAACCTAGCTAGTGGAAACATGTTAAACATGTCAAAGACAAACAAACACATATACACACACACACACACACACAATAGATAAATACACACACACCCACACATCGAGAGCTAGCCACAGTTGCTCTTGTTGTGTGAGAGAGCAGGGTGTATGAGTGACATGACGTTAAAATGCGATCGACTCTTACCTGCTGACAGCAGCTGTTCAGATTGCAAATGGTAATGGAAATGAAATTGTCGAGGGGCACGTGGTGTGTGGCATGTGTGGGCGCTTGAGTCGCATTGTCGAACAAATAAGTTACCAATTGCTGACCGGAACTGCAGAGACATAGCCGGCACCTCCAACACTCCACCCTTTGCGGTAGCTGAGTTTGTGCAGCGGGTTTTGTGTGCATATTATAATGATTCTTATTCAAATAGCAGCATGCATCATATATATATATATATGTACACATATATACAATTTAAACTTGTGTGTGCGTGTTCTTAAAGCGACAAAATGCTTGCGAAATGCATTTTACACGAAATTGATTCAATTAATTTTAATATGTAATGGGCGTGGTGCTAGTGTGAGTGTGTGTGTATGTGAGTTTGCTGGGTAAATGGCAACACACACAAGCACACACAGACGCAGCACAGTCGGAGATTTAATTTAAGTGAAATGAAAAGGAAACCAACGAAGTTAACGTTACCACTACCAGAGACAGCTACATCGACAGCTGGGGACGCAATTACGCTTACTACTATTATTATGCTATTTCCCAAAGTATAAAGAGAAAAACAACACGAATGAATGAACAAAAAGGAAAAAAAACACATTAATGTTGCTTTAGGGCAAACCCAAAATAAGTACAACAATATACAAAGCTGCAAACACAATTAACCCATCGCCCAGATACTCTGTAATATAATTTCTAACACAATTGAATTTCTGTGGGTAAAACTATAAGAAAAAAGTAGAAAAACAGTTGACAAAAAGAAAATATTCTTAAGAGTTTGTTATAAAATCGTTAAATTCCAAATAAATGTTCCTCAGTTATAAAAATTACAAATCGATACGGCGTTCGAGATACTGAAAATTTCACTTAGTTCTAGATTGTAGTTGTACATTTCCAATAACTAATTTCTGTATTAATATATATTATATTTAATTAAATCGCACAACAGTAACAAATTCCAACAGCAGAATTCTCTGTTCATCTAAAATAATTAATATAATATATTCAATATCCTCAAATCTGACAACAGCCACAAATTGCAATACCTAATTTTTGTTTTTATATATAATATTAATATATATATATATATATATATATATATATATATATATATATATATATATATTTCATTTGTAAAAATGTCTAATATTTTATATAGCCCATTGCATCAATTGCAGTGTGAATAGCGCAAATAATGCTCAAGTTCTTTAAGCTTCTTTGCACAGCTCAAGCATATTATATGATGCATGCACGTACATAGATATATACCCGTCATCATCATTATATACGCTCTCTAGTTATTTGTGCCCGTGGTGACTAACCTGGTTGGCTGTTTGACTTTTTGACTGAATTGCGTCTGGTTGTTCGGGTTGCCCATTGGGAGAGAACGCGGTCAACAATAGGTCGTCTATTGCGTACATTTGTTGTACATTTGTTTTCACTCTATGAGCGTCTGACCTTATGACTTTATTAGCCATGCCAAAACACCAACAAAATAATGAGACAGGTTTGTTATTGTTGTTGTTGTGTGCTTGCCGAGTGTGTGGCAAGCATTTTCAAGATTTTCCTTTAAGCACTTGGAAAAAAACCGTCATCGTTCAGCGTTTCAGTGTCATCGTCGTCATCATCATCATCAGACTGCGATGGCGTCGCTAATGACTAAACCGCCCAACCCCAACCCACCCCACGTTCTCTACGCGTATCTCGCTTCCTCTCTTTCTCTGTCCCTCTCTTTCTCTGTCCCTCTCTATCTCTCTCTCTCTTTCTCTGTCTGTCTGTCTCTTGCTATCTGTAACGACCGAGCAGTTTCTCTCGTTCTCTCTATGTGCTGTGCTCGGCGCGTGTCTATTGATTTTCTGTGCATAATCGAT